TCAGTCTAATGAATATAGATATATCAGTCTTATGAATATAGACATATCAGTCTAATGAATATAGACATACCAGTCTTATGAATATAGACATATCAGTCTAATGAATATAGATATATCAGTCTTATGAATATAGACATATCAGTCTAATGAATTTAGATATATCAGTCTTATGAATATAGACATATCAGTCTTATGAATATAGATATATCAGTCTAATAAATATAGATATATCAGTCTAATGAATATAGACATATCAGTCTAATAAATATAGATATATCAGTCTAATGAATATAGACATATCAGTCTAATGAATATACACATACCAGTCTTATGAATATAGACATATCAGTTTTATGAATTAAGACATATCAGTTTTATGAATAAAGACATATCAGTATAGTTAATCTAAACATATCAGTTTAATGCATATGAACAAATTAACCTGATGAATATAGACAAATTAACCTAATAGACATAGACATATCAGTCTGATTAATTTAGACGAATCGATCTAATCAAATATCAGTCTTACGAATGTTGGGTTAGTATTCTCCCATAATAAACCCATAAACCTGTAGTGCTTCTATCATTTGGGAGAGAGATATTATTCACAGCTATTCACAGTTAATATATCATTTATTAACTGCAAGTTTTTTCTCTCAAAATGATGAAGTTTGACAAATTCTGAACAACTGGAGCTTAGTTACCCTTTTCACTGCTATCCCCTGGATTTTTTTGAGTGGAGGATTTTGTTATTTTCAAGTACAGTACAACATTTTATGATTTTTTAATTTTTGAGCAACTTTTTATGATTTTGTAATTTTTGAGCAACTTTTTATGATTTTGTAATTTTTGAGCTACTTTTTATGATTTTGTAATTTTTGAGCAACATTTTACGGATTTGTAATTTTTTATGCAACATTTTAGAATTTCCTCATTTTTTATTGTAACAATTTAGGGGACACATCTAATTGCATTGAGGAGCATTTTGATTTTATAAAATACATGGAAGTGCTGGGTCTCAGAGATTTCAATGTGGGGAGAGCATTGCTTTTCTAGAGATGGACTTCATCTCTGCACTATAGATAATTCTTTGCACTACAGATAATTCATCGATCTACCTCATATTTGTTATATCACAGTATCTGCTTCAATTATCAGCAATGGAGATTTGAACAGGAGTCAATTTTCTTTAATCTTAGATAATGCTGCAAGACAAGTTGATTTTGATTTGATGTTTTCATGAATCTCTAGCACTGAACTTTTTATGTAGACTCTAGACAAGTGATACATCATTTTGCTATCTATAGTGCATGTCATATTGAGAGAAATATCCCAGGTCAATAAAACTGCAGGGGGCAATAACCTGTGATACTACTTTCCCGATACAGAGACAAGTCATTCTGATACTCATAGCATCTTTCTGTTTCACCTGTAACTCTCAGGGTTGAGAAGAAATGAGATGTCAAGGTTAATCATGATGGAGACACGTTAATTTGTGTGTATATCACATAGACACACCTAAGCACAGTGACATGTATAAATCATACAAAATGTGTCAACATTGGATGTTGTAACCAGCCAGTGCGACCACACGAATAAGAGAAAAAACAAAAGAGCTCACTAAATCTAACAAATGATGAAAGTACAGTAAAACCGTCTTAGTGGACACCTCTCTCTAGTAAACACCTGCATTTATTGAACACCTATCCTCTGCACATACTCTACTGACTTCTGTATAAATTACCCTCTCTGCAGCGAACAACTACCAACTCTGAACATTTTTTCTCGACAAAAAAATTCAATATGCTCAGGTTTTACTATACTTGAAATAAAGTAGCTCGGGGATATTTTGTTTTACTGCCTATGACATGTCAGTCATATGTTTACACTTGTCTAATGAAATAATGTAACTTGTGACATTTACACAGGGATAGGCTGACATTGATACTCAGTATGTAGTATAGAAACAAGTGGCTCTGCATTCAGTCTTTGTTTTCATTTTCACACAGACATGGATCTAGAAATATGTTTACCTTAACAGTGAATGAATCAATGTCAAAGTGTTAGTTACCATTGTGGCACATAAGAAACTGGGCTTAAATTCGTGAATGCAACTTTCGGCTGGCTACCAGATTAACTTACTATTTTATTACCAACTCCTCTAAATATGAATAGAATAGTGGCAGGTACTATTCATATTAAAATGAGTTGCCCATAAAATAGTAGGTTAATCCAGTAGCCGACAGCCGAAAGTTGCATTTGTACAAGCTTAGTTGCAACTGTGGTATATAAGCATGAAACTGAAACTCTTTAGAAATTCAAATATATATATTTATATGTTACTAGTGATTTTCTATTTTGATTCTAAGATCTTAACGATCTCAATGTGAAGCTTTTATATGGTCTTTAAAGGGGATTTAAATGTAAAATGATCTAATAAATACCATGAAAGCAGAGTCTCGTTGTAAACTAACCTCTTTAAGATGAAGCTCTTTTTTTAAGAAGCGAAGACGAAAGAATGTAAAGGGTAACTAATGAACAGAAATATAGAGTTGTGATTGGTGATTGTCTATCTCTTCTCATTATGAGGGAAGCTCCTTTCTCTCCTCTCACATGCTGCTGGGTTATTTGCTTTTTTAATTGGAGATTCCTACAGGACCATGACACTGGCAACTGAGAATAATGAAAAATTATGTAAGAGTTTTGTTTGCGATTCTGCATTATAATATGATTGCAAATTAGTATGCATATACAGTGAAACCTGTAAACTGGAACACCTCTGTTAATAGAACACTTTTCAGAGTCACAGGACCAGCTGACTTGAATTAAATGAACCTCCATAAGTGGAACACCTCTCGAATAGAACACTTTTTAGGTAAAAAAGGTGTAAAAAGGTAGTTACTATTAAAGGGAGTCTAAACCTTAATGCTATTTTTCAAGAAAATGAACTGTAATTCCTTTGAATTATACGATAACATTACACCTTCTAAAATGGCAACAATTAAAAATACATGTTAAAATGCAATGGATCTTGAGAAGAAATACATGTTAAAATGCAATGGATCTTGAAGAGAAATACATGTTAAAATGCAATGGATCTTGAGAAGAAATACATGTGTATTGTGATAATTAGTCTTGCTTCAAGTCCCCTTTAAGCCCAATACATGTCTAATACCCTTTACAAGAGGATGTAAAGATAATGGAGAGGGTCTACACACTCGATACAAGACTATTGGCTTATAATTTCTCCTCCAAACTATCACATTTTATGTTAAACTAAAATAATGGGAGTAGTGTCAGATGTTTGAATCATCAACCAATAATTATTGTTACATCAACTACATTAATTTTGCATATGTTATTCTTATACTGCAAAACAAATATTTAAATCCAATTTCCATTTCCAATTGTTTCTACAAGTGATATAATATTAACTAACTCCATGAATTTCTTGCTAAAAGTAACCGAAAAGTAACTTAAATGACCGATTTCTAGTTACAAAGGATATCATATAAATAACCTTGAAGAACTCTGGGTATCAAACAGAATTGAAAATGAGCAATGTGGTATATAAACAGGCCTAATAGATTGAACTAACAGAACCATGTAATCCACCATAAGGGCCAGGACACGGACATTCCCATTTCCCAAGTAGGGCCTATCACTTTCCGCCAGATCAATTGAAATCTTACCATTACAATACAGCAGGTATTTACTTCACACATTCACATTGTTGTTCATTCTTGTTACATTGACCGATTGGAAATCAATGAAATCAAAATCAATGTAAATACAACAATAGCCAGTCATATTGTATCAATGATATGTTCAGAGCATACAAATACTCGATACACATACAGTATAGGATGTACAACTGTATAATAACCACTTCAAGGAAAAATGACAAAGTTGGTACAGTGAAACCTGTTCCCTCTACAGTGAAACCTGTTCCCTCTACAGTGAAACCTGTTCCCTCTACAGTGAAACCTGTTCCCTCTACAGTGAAATCTGTTCCCTCTACAGTGAAACCTGTTCCCTCTACAGTAAAACCTGTTCCCTCTACAGTGAAACCTGTTCCCTCTACAGTAAAACCTGTTCCCTCTACAGTAAAACCTGTACCCTCTACAGTAAAACCTGTTCCCTCTACAGTGAAACCTGTTCCCTCTACAGTAAAACCTGTTCCCTCTACAGTGAAACCTGTTCCCTCTACAGTAAAACCTGTTCCCTCTACAGTGAAACCTGTTCCCTTTACAGTGAAACCTGTTCCCTCTACAGTGAAACCTGTTCCCTCTACAGTGAAACCTGTTCCCTTTACAGTGAAACCTGTTCCCTCTACAGTGAAACCTGTTCCCTCTACAGTGAAACCTGTTCCCTTTACAGTGAAACCTGTTCCCTTTACAGTAAAACCTGTTCCCTCTACAGTGAAACCTGTTCCCTTTACAGTGAAACCTGTTCCCTCTACAGTGAAACCTGTTCCATCTACAGTGAAACCTGTTCCCTCTACAGTGAAACCTGTTCCCTCGACAGTGAAACCTGTTCCCTCTACAGTGAAACCTGTTCCCTCTACAGTGAAACCTGTTCCCTCTACAGTGAAACCTGTTCCCTCTACAGTGAAACCTGTTCCCTCTACAGTGAAACCTGTTCCCTCTACAGTGAAACCTGTTCCCTCTACAGTGAAACCTGTTCCCTCTACAGTGAAACATCTTTAAAAGTGGAACACTTCTAAGAGGTCCCAATATGTTCCATTTAGACATTGTTTCTTTTCACCTTAGATCATGGTTTGGGATAGTTGGGTTTGTTTTGCTTATGACTGGTATAGTCTTAGATGGTACTTATGCATACATATTTATATGTTCCACTTTAAAAGGTTTTATAGTAGTTTTTAATCAACAGAGGTAGTGGTAAACAAATGTATTGATAATTTTTATTGATTATTGTTAATGTTTAATTGGGATTGATAAATAGATGATGCAACATATAACCAACTTTCCACGTACCTGCTATGGTGACACAACGTTCCTGTAAGTTCATATCCTTGGCTTTCTGTGATATCTGTACATAAGCCCCACTGTCATCTTTGATCTGTTTAATAAAGCTTCCACTCTTGCCTATTATCATACCAGCAGTACTGTTTGGAACAAGGATCTTCACCTAAAACATACAAAACAAGTCTCAATCAAAATAAACAACCTCTTCACTTATCAAGTCATGCAGATCTTTACTTGTCTTCAGTATTTTATATTTCAGATTGCAATTACAGTTCAGTGAGAAAGATACAATGAGTTTCAGAAGGTATGAGCATAGGCGTAGCCAAGGGGTCACACCCATCACACCGCCCCCCATAACAAATAGAGCCATGACATAGAAGAAGGGAGCTTTAAAATGATTTTGTTTGAAGCTTCTAGCTCAATTTTCAAGGAAGTTAAATCAATTTTTGTAAAATTTAAAAAAATCATTAAAAATATTTTTTGGCTTGCTTATGCCACAATCGCACCCCCATGACTGAAAATCTATTTTTTGTGTTCCCAGCTCCCCCCTGACTGAAAGCTGGCTATGCCCCTGACAAGTATAAAGCCCCCCCCCCAAGTCTAGTGTGGATTTTTAGAGAGGGGTGCGAGGAAGAGGCTTCAATGAACATCTACAAAACTTCCCCATTAACTCAAAGATACTTGTAAGCTTAGAAACTAAACAGCAGAAAAATGAGGAGCATTACAATGTAAATAAACAGTCACCCCACAACTCTATCATTTATCAACTTAAGATCTCTCATATGTTATTTCAAAGACCTAAAATACATGATTTTAAAAGAATGGGCCATAAGCCTGATAGAAAATGACAAAATATTCAATAATTTGAAGTAACTAGATCCAATTATCTTTCAATAATTTGACCATAATAACCATGGCATAGATACAACCCAGATGTCATTGGACAAGACCATAGAACTACAAACTTACATTTCGTTCATTCCAATAGAAAATCAGAAATCATTATACATCTATTGATTCCATAGTATCATTTCTCAAGTACATATTGAATTCTGATGTCGATAGACTCCCATTTCAAATATTGATTCCTGTCTTTTCGCAAATCAAGCTCTTAAGTTTATATTGAAGTCTTACATCAAGATTCTACCACTACTGACCCCTCTCCCCTTCAAACCACTGGACCAAAAACAAGGTATAAAGATCTGTTTATGTTATGTGTGGGCAGTATATACAAGCATTTGCTATAAGACTCACAGTATTTGAAGAATCAGAAGGGATAAAGAGAGTAAAATGAAAGAAGCAATCTGTTAATTGTTTTCCTTGAACCTAATCCACTTATTTTCTGGAATTTGAAATATGACTTATTATAGATTTCAGACACAGAAATATATCTACCAAATCTGAATATCTCTATTTTGAATGTTTTTTTGTTGTTGCAAAATAACCTTAAAAATTGAAGGATTACCTTAAAATAAAGTATGAGCTGTTGGAGGTTTTATAGTAAGTACACATGACATGATGAAAGCAAAAAATATTAAAATATTATAAAATTGTGACAATGTTTTTGAAAACCATTATCAACTCATCTCTTCCAAATCTAGTCCCTTTAAAAAATAGCATATATAATTTTAAAAATGTCTTACTGGTCTTTGAAAGGAATTGAATGCATTGAGAAAAATATGAAATTTATAAAGAAAAAATATCACAAGGGACTGGGAGATGCCAAATGAATTACAAGGTCATATTTTCCAGTGAATTCCTTTTGAACTCAAAACAAAATAAATCTATTTTTCTGAATGTCAATATTTAGATTTATGTTAAGTAAAAATAAAAATAACAATCAAATGCTGTGAAAATATAGAAGAAATATAATTTAAACAGGACATTAAATGTAACATTCAAAATGTCACCACCTGCCATTTGTTACAGACACTGACCGCCAAAAAACCCCATCTACAAAAGAGTTGAAGACTAACAATATGCGCCACTTGTGGTTGTGACAAGAAAGAATACTTTTATTCTAGACCTTTTGAACCTTCATAAGTGGAACACTTCCTAAGTGGAAACTCTTTCGCAGTATCAATGGTGTTCTACTTGGACAGGTTTAACTGTATTGGAATGACAAAGCTTAAAACATGTGCCTTTATCTGGTAATCAGCTTCTCCAATTTCCAATCAAGAGATAAGTACATGGAATGGCAATTACTGGACAATGCAATGGACATATCAGGTAATTTAAGTCATACTAAGAAATCCCTGGTCAACCTTTCCAGCCAATATATGGAGTGCTTTACATAAAATATATATTTACGGATGCCATTAAGGTGAAAAGGGGAACATTATTCTCTCTGAACAACTGACTACTTGAATTTGATAACAACCTTAGAGAAAAGACTAAATGCAAGTAGAAATAATTTTTATTTTCATCATTAATTATTCAAAATTTAATTAAAGTTGTATCATTTTTGAAATCTTAAAGTGTGCTCTTAAAAATTGTTCATCAACTATATTATTTAATTTTTTGGAAAATGTAATTTCTAGCTTGGGTAAATTCCTCATAGAACCAAAGTTATAAAATCATGAAAAGTGAAATATATTTTCTTATATTGAACAGATAATATGTTTTATGTAATTTCTATTACTGAACACATTTTACATGACATAACTATCAAACTCAAAAAGATTAGAAGAAAATTGATCTACTGAATCTATAAATTATCCAAGCTTAAGGGAATTTTTTGTATGCCTGCCATGCTAGCGAAGTGAGTTAGCCACCTGGTGTTGATATTGGTAACTACATTCTAGCATCTAGGTTATTGATGGCATTAGATAGCAATTAAAGGCACCCATGCCATCGATGCTAGACTGATAGCACATGATCGCAATAACATATAAAAAAAAGTGGTAATAACCAAGCTATCTCTACCATGTTTCCATAAGATTTAACGCATGTCAGTATAACATCCCAGACATCATTGATATTTCAGATTGTTTTATGAGACGACAAATATGTATTTATTTCATGGAATAATCCTCATTCGATGCGTTCTGATTTGAAATCAATGCCATCGGGAACTTGACATGTCAGGATTAAATGCCACGCAACTGGGAAACATATCAGTAGAAAGTATCTCAGAAGAAATGTTGCAGTTATGCTTGAATGTAGCACTCTCTAGAGATGTAGAATGGCTATATACTGGCCATTCCTCTAAAAATGCAAATAATGTAATCGTCACGCCTGAATGCACTTTTATTACCGAGGGTAAAGTGTCAATAATAATATATTAAGACATGTCATTTTTGGCACTTTGGATTTAATAATGAGATTGGTATTGACTGATACACTGACCACAGTCTCAGACTGACCACAGGCATCGTTCCTACATTTGAGTTTGTTGGTAAAATTACTGATGCCGAAATAACAAGCCATTTTGGGCAGTCACTACTCTTAACTATAACCTCGATTTGTTTTTATCTTCTGTGACCTACTTGTTTATGTCGTTCTTGATTCACTTTGAGTTCACCATCAACTGGTCGTGGGTTGGGGTCTGGTTTTTCTCTAATTTTTTCAAGGACGAAATCTGCGACACGATTGACTTGGTCGTGCGTACCGGTCATAAGGCATACCCTCTCTGTGGTTCCTGCAAGAACATAAGCAAAAGTCTTATTAGTGTTAGTGTGATTTGTACTCCAGATACTGAACAAATATTTCACTCTATTGAGGTGAATACCTGTAGCACTTTCACAAGTGATATTCCACGAAGCCCGAAGGGCAAGTGGAATATCACCTTGTGAAAGTGCTACAGGTATTCACCGAAAATAAAGTGAAATATTTGTTTTATTATATCACTGTCTAGCTAAACATCCCTAATATTATTAAGTCATAGGTTAACATTGAAATATATGTCTGCCATTTTGACTTATACTGAACTAAATTATTTACACTGAACGAAAACAAATTCTTTGAAAATTCCCGGGAGCGTGGGATATCGCTAGATATCTCACGGTTGTCTTATCTGATTAGCATTGCCATTGAATATCGCCAGATATCCCACGACATGTGACCCGGTTTTGACCAATCATACTGTCGCTAGCTAGATAGTGATATAATAAATACCAATATTATGGTTTATTTTGATGTTTCACACCCAGTATTTGCAGATAAATGTTTTGTTCAAATAAACTTGATATTTAGAGCAAGTAATACTGTTTATAAGCCAAAACAGGTTAATCCTCTAGGGTTTTCTCTTGGAAAAATAATAAGGCGATCGTGCTTTCTTTTTTTCTATTTTACTCTCAAAATTTAACTTAAGCATGTAGAAATGCAAGAGTTCAAATCTTAGACACGGTTAGAAAAAGGGTTTGACAAAGGAGGTTTTGGATGACCTGGCAGGCACTGCTAACAGAAGACTAATTTCTAAGGGCATGATATCAGGGGTATAACATTTTGATATATTAGGAAAACTGATTTTCTAAGTAATTATATTCTCTGAATTGAGACAGAAAGTGAGGTCAAAATTTATGTCTGGATCAATAAGTGAGCAATTAAAACAGTCTGAGACACCCAGCAAGACCATTGATCATCTTTAAGTGCATCACTAACATAAAGACAATAAGCCTATATTGAGTAAGAATATGATAAAATAAAGAGTGGGATTAAATAAAGTTCCGAGTTGAATTTTATATATATCCGACATAGGAAGATTGCATGATTGAACGCTATTGACATTATTGACGTTAGGTTTTATTAGAGATTTACACTAATGGGCGTATTTGTCATAATACTCATAAAGTACCTTGTACCAATTTTTGGGCACGTCAAGTAGCGAACATAGACATTTTTTACATTTATTGTAATAACTTCGCTGAGTCATTTATAATTCATGACCTGCTCCCACAAGAACTGCTTTCTTGCCACCTTAGCCTGTCTCTCATGGAAGTTTTGTAAAAAGGCAATCATCGCATGCAAGGCTAGCATTAAATAAAATATCAGATCTGATTGAAAACCTATCATGTAATGGAATTATTAATACAGAAATCATGTTCAAAAATATTAATGTCATATTTCAATATAAATCGTGTCATGTTTTCTCAACTTGACATGTTGCATGCATATACTAGTTTGATATATTATTCAGAGAGTCTATACTGACATTTAATTACATCACCTGACTCTCAGGTAGCCCAAAAACAATAGACTCAGTAGATCAAGATCTCTAGGGAGCAACGAGAGATAGTACGTATATAGTATATCTTTGGTACCTCTAAAAGTGCTCTACTTGAGAGGTGTTCCATGTGTAGAGGTTCATTTAACAATAAGTCAGTTGTTCTTGGGACTCTGAAAAGTGTTCAACTAACAGATGTGTTCTACTTTACAGGTTTCATTATAATATTACTTATGTTGTATGATTTTGATACTTTACTATTGACATCTAAGTAAGGATGAAGGTAGAATAAGTAGGTTAAGTTAAGGTAGGTTGGGTAGAATTAATTAACCTGGCAAGTTAACATTCACCAAAATTTATTCTTCGATGCCAACCTTAAACGAAAGAAAATGGTTGAATTCCATGATCAGGTCAGATCAACATTATCAAGATCAAAAGCTGTCAAATATCGAGAAGCAATTCTGGAACTCTACGAAATCTCCCCAGTCATAATTCTAATATGTCACATCACACTCTTAATATAATTCAACCGGAGATAAGTTACTTAGTGACAACCCTATGTTACCTAGTAACAACCCTAGGAGGCAGAGTGTCACATCCTCCGTCACTCTATAGCTTATCTCTACTATGTACAATTGAAAATTGACTAAATGTCATATCAATTATATTCCAAATCCATCAATTGCTACTGGTTGCTAGAGTCAATGTCACCTTAATAACTTAAGGCATGTCTGGGGGGTGGTGTCAAGAAAATTGTCTGGCATCGAGTTTACCCATCTTATATATGTAGATTAAGAAGAGTGACTAATACCAGACTGCATGTAAATGTAATGTGACATTTATTTCATCCCATTGTTATTTTCTTCTATAGCACCTGGCGCCTATCGTGGTTAGCCACGCCCTCTCCATTTCTGTTCTTCTGCGATGCAACAGAGAGAGATGTTATGAGTAACTTGGCGTCTCAATAAGATACCACCTAACATTTCCATTTAACAATGCTCCTAGACTTCTATAATAAAGAATACACTGAATTAAATTGACTTCACAATAGAGGAAACCATCCTCATTCTGTATCCAACACAATCTTGCCATAACTTGTATGTTAAAAGCCTCAATCAATACACTCATTACTGTAAGAGCTTCTTGGCATATCAATCCACCCCTTATAGGCCAACAATATTTGATAAAACGAGAACTTGAGTGAGAAATTTGGTAGAAAATTGATATATGGAGAAGGAGTAGTAAATTTTCCTAAAGTTCAGGAGTACTTTGTATACATAGTCAGTAGAATTGGCGGAATTGACAGAATCGATGAAACCTCGGGCATGTAATAGATGATTAAAACAACTCTAATCAAAAATTTTCTTTGATCAATAGACAGACACCACGCCTAGTTAAAAAATAAATAAATCACATTTTGGTTCTGGTCTCTAATGATGAGGAAATAATCTCAGGATAAAGCGGTAAATGAGTGAAAGAAATCTCATTATTTTAACATCCTTACAGGCACCATTCACTAAATCATATTCTCTAAAATAACTTGGACCTTCACCTATTGGCCCTGATTTCGGTATATAGTAAGTAAACCCTGGGAAGTTAACATATGATTCGTGACCTGAGACTTGACAAAAAAAGTTGATGTACATGCTAAGCCCCAGTGCCCTCCTCCGATCCAAATTCCGATCCGATCCAAACATATAAAGGCAACATTATTATAAAGCTGATGTCATTTCAATAAAGAATAAGTACAAATCCACAATAAGAAAATGAATCTTTTCCTGAAGGAAATTAGCAGCTTTAAAATCATAGAAAGTATCATAAAGGGAATATATCAATGGTCGGATTCCTCATTTCCATGAGTAGAGCTCAATAAACACTCTCTAAAGTTATGTTTCCATTGCCATTAAACAGTCTTATTGGCTAAGTGGTCCACGATAATGGACAGAGGGATCTCACTCCGCAGTTTACTATCGCCAATGTAATCCCCGTCCTTATTCAAATTCATATAAATGTGATATTAGGTTATGAAGTAATGTCACCAGAACATAGGGAATTAGAATAAGTGAATATATAATGAAGCCAAAACAAATTAATATGATTATTGCATAAGTACATGATGGGAAGTGAGGTAATAATTACATGGAAGGAAAAGGTTATAGAATACCTAAACCAGCTCAGTAATACCAAGCTAAGCTATTTCAAACTCGCATTGATTCCGCAATTGACATTTACCGTGTAGGGCTCATTCGTTTCTCCGACGAAGCACAAAGATATCATCAACGAACTACGCAGAACAGAAATTGCTTTTATCCATAACTCTTTCACAAACAGATTGTGTGATTTACTGATAATTATTCTGACAAAAAGTAATTTTTCTATGTTTTCTTAAGAGACACAGTGTAAACACCTACACAATCTGTGTCTCAATGATCAGACAATAATAGCAGTAATACCCTTAAATAATTCATCTTTATTCTGAAGAAATAAACATAAAAAACTCATCTAAAAACACTCAATATTCCAGAGTTAACAAGGAATTAACATGCAAAATGTCACCACCTTCTATTTATTACAAACACCAACCACCAAACACCAACCTCCAAGTGCCAAACACTGTCCACAAAAAAGTTGGAGACTATAACATAACTAGTTAACATTATATAATTTATTTGGAGGTAAAATAATTTTTATCTATTTTTGGTGTTCAATTCATAGTTTCTAATTTAACAAAATACTCCAGAGAGTATTTATTAAACTGTAAAAATGTTATACTTATTTGAAAATCAAACAATATGTTATATATTTTGGCAGTCAAATATATCAATTAGTTTAGGTAACCTGTCCAGGCTACTGTGACCTTAGAAGAGGGTGCAGGAGTTCAGCCAAATGTTACAAGGTTTTCTATTACATATCTGGGTAGAATACCAACAGTTTACTTGGATAATCTAACATCAAAATACTTTAAAAAATACAAAGCCATGTTTATGAAATGGAGGAAGTAGGGAAGGGGGGGGGATACGAACCACTATAAGTTTGTAACTCAGTTATGTGAAGCCTCCTCTATTATTTTTGTCAGACCCATGAAATCTTCATTAAGTTTCACTGTATCTCAACTGTACTATATATATTTCACAATAAGTTTTTACCTCTGACTATTCTATCCACTATTCCACAATCATCTTAGCTACTTGTCTTGTACATTCTGCCACATCTCAATTTTCTCAAGCAAAGAGAATAGGTAAGGGTGGGAGGGGGATATACAGAAAATTAATGTAACATTACTTCCATCAAAATTCTATATCTATCTTTCATCAGCACTTAACAGTGAAGTGTGCCTTACATCCAACAAAATCAGACGCTTCAGAAGATGAAACAGTTGTTCCGGATCATCTGTCGTGATGAGTTGGATTACAACCAAACAGTTGCCATGGTTTCCAGCCTCTCAGTCTCTACAGACTGATTATATCATATAATTC